GATTCTAATATAGAATTTATAGACAGAGTAATAAATATGAACAGTGTTCAGCATTTTCAAAAACTGGAACATCATTCAGATTCAATAGTCACTCAGCTTCTTGAGACACCGATTTCAAGAAGACAAGAAAAAAGCTTCCCAAAAATTGAATTGAAGACCTTAAGCACTACTACATTTTTCTGGAAATTGGTGAAAGAATTGGTGAATCGCTCATTGAAGTGATTCTCCAACTATCGATATAGTAAATTTTATCACAGTAATGTATATGTGTGTTTGAAAGTGTGTGTGTATGCGTGTGATATATATGCCAAATAGCTCATAGGATTGTACTGTGATCTGACTGCTGTTGAGAATAAAATATGTATATAAAATGCTATCTGATCTGATTGCTATTGAAAATAAAAATGTGTGTGTGTGTGCGGATGCAAATTTTCATTGACGATTTGAATAACTCAAAAAAAAACATTAGATTCCTATTGATAAGGACACATGTTGATTAGTTTTTAGCAAAAGCAGGTTCAGCCGTTTCGGAGATTCAGTTCAGTTTTTGAAAAAACAAAGCGTCCAATTTGAATGATTCAAAAAACATTTTTTTGTGACAAAATGAAGAACTGATTTAATTGTTGGAAAGGCAGGTCTAATGGTTTTGCAAATCCAATAAAAATGCCATTTGACATATTTTTTAAATGATCATTAGACATATTTTTTTTTTGTTACAATTTATTTTTGTTAATCAAGACTTTGATGTCTTATTTACAACATTGATATGAGCAACAAAAATACAAAAATACAAAAAAATGCAATAAATTGAATATAAAATGAAAAAAGTTAAAATAAAAAAATAAATAAAATAAAATAAAAATAAAATAAAAACAGTAATACAAAAATAATAACATAAATGAACGATGACGTGATGATGAATGCCGCGTACTACGCCAGGACGCGTGCAGACATTGGGCTAAGTGTTTGGTAGTTCTGAAGGGCATTTCTTGCCCAATCTTCTTAACGGTCTGTGAATCGCTTGAATAGTAGGATTTGTATGCTGGATTAAATTATTGTTGAAAGATGAACTTCTAATCTTGATCATTTCGTTGACTGTTAAGATTTTTAAATCCTTATGTAGGCAAAAGTTCGAAATATACCAGGGCGCATTAGTAAGGATACGCAGAATTTTGTTCTGGTCATCAGGCATATGCACATCAAATTTTTGGATATTTTATAGGATTCTTAATAATAAGTAAAAATTTTGTTTACATTTCTATGGATTCCGTACAAATGTTTATCCGTTAGACTTTGACACAGTCTCTGAAACAGTTACTCAGCGCAATTGCTTTGAAAATAAGTTTAAAGCTTTCAAAAATAACAAAATATAAAAAATTCAAATTTTTCAAAAAATTTAAAAATCTCATCAAGTTTACACCTTTTTTAATAATTTTAAGTTTTCGGTATGGGAAGTTACAGAAATTTGCTTCAAGGCACGATGCCATGCACCACTAATTGCGCATACAAATTGAAGGAAAACAGGATGATCGCACAACAATACCGTGTCTTTGGATAGGAGTATAATCGATTCGGTGCGCCTAGTAATAACAAACAGGGCAGAGCAATCACATATCATTAAGGTGAACCATTGTTTGTGCGGCGCTGTGGCCGTAGTTTCGGTCCGCGATCCTTTCGGCCTCGGAACGACCGCTGCGCTCTGCACATACGAGCCAGTCCTACGTATACAGATTAGCATAGCTCGGAGCCTACGATGCGCACACTGAGAATCAACGTCTATATACTTGGCACCGCGATGGTGGAAATTGGCAAAACTGATATGACCTGATTTATTTGACGATTTTTTTGCTGTCGATTGGTGCAAACTAAAATTTTTTTGCTTTTTCCGTTCTCGCGATAAATGGGTGGGGCCAAATTCGGTGCTAACTATATATATAGTCAGCACCGACCCCTTTAAAAATGTAAAAAAAATAAAATTTCTTGTCACTATCGTTATCAGTGATTTTTTTGCTGTCGAATGGTGTAATTAATTTTTGGAAAAGTTTTTCCCATCTCAGATTTTCACGCATAGAAAAATTCCCAAATTTGCCAATTTAAAAAAATTGTCAATTTTGAAAATGACCAATTTTTTTGCTCGTTTACTTAAATATGAAACAAAAAAAAAATTTCAAAAAATATATTTTTTCACCCCTTTTCAGATAGGTTGCCAATTTTCTTGGGTGTCCACAGATCACTTTTTTAAAAGTTTAAAAATTGTTTTAGAATCTGTGATTTTTTTGCTCTGCGATACAAAAAAGAAAAATTCAAAAAAATAAATTTTAATTTTGATTTTTTTTGTAGTATAGAAACGAATAGTTTGCGTCCATGATAGGTACTACGATGCTCAAGTTATTTACTTACCCCCAAAACAGACTTAATGAATCAATTAGTCAACAATATTTCAGTAATTTCAGTAAATAAATAATGCCTCTTTAGCCACCCGCCGCCGAGAGACTCCACGCTATTGAGCGAGTGAGACGGCTATATATATGCAATTCCTATTACAATTTAACAAATTCATATAAAAATGGAATAAGACTATTAATTCCCATCGAACACATATTTTTATAAAGGTATTGGTGATGATTTTGTTATGATTAGACAAAAAATAATCATATTTAAATGGGATTGCAATCCGCTTCCATACTACGAAAAAAATCAAAATTAAAATTTATTTTTTTGAATTTTTCTTTTTTGTATCGCAGAGCAAAAAAATCACAGATTTCGAAAAAATTTTTAAACTTTTGAAAAAGTGACCTGTGGACACCCAAAAAAATTGGCAACCTTTCTGAAAAGGGGTGAAGAAATGATTTTTTTGAAAAATATTCTTTTGTTTTATATTTATGTAAGCGAGCAAAAAAATTGGGCGTTTTCAAAATTGACAATTTTTTTAAATTGGCAAATTTGGGAATTTTCCTATGCGTGAAAATCTATGATGGGCAAAACTTTTCCAAAAATTAATTGCACCATTCGACAGCAAAAAAATCACTGATAACGATAATAAAAAGAAATTTTAATTTTTTTGCATTTTTAAAGGGGTCGGTGCTGACTATATATATAGCTAGCACCAAATTTGGCCCCACCCATTTATCTCGAGAACGGAAAAAGCAAAAAAATTTTAGTTTGCACCAATCGACAGCAAAAAATCGTCAAAAAATCAGGTCATTTTAGTTTTGCCAATTTCCACCATCGCGGTGCCAAGTATATAGACGTCTGAGAATCCCGAAACCGAAATGTACAAATCAATTTGTAGTTTGTTTTTCCCGTATCTATAGCTAACACGCATACGCTTCGGATATCAAATATCGTTGTATCCCGTGCGTTTGCCGTTGTTCGCGGAATAATAAGCTTGTATCTGATCCTTTATACAAACATATGTATGTATGCAAATGAAGGACTTCGTTCTACGACTCGAGATCGCGTTCAGCCCAAAACCGAATCCCAAACGACGTTATATAAAAATGTTTAATTCAGCATTTTATTGCTGACCGACACCGACTATTCTAATCATTTATTTATGCTTCGCACTATTTACATCTCAATGCGGGAATATTAACAATAATCTAGCCCTTGTGAAAGGGATAATCTAGTTACAAACATCGAAGCGCACGTATTCTAGACAATATGCACATCGACAATAGACAGAACGTCATCAGTTATCACAATGTATATGAATTATATATTGGTACATTTTGATGCAGTGACTCTTGAATCGCTCAACTACGACAAGTGGGATATACCATAGAGCTCACTATCATTTGTAAATTCAGTAATAAAATTACTGAAGCTGAAACTTGCATCATTCTGGCTTAATTGGATGAAATTTGGAAGCTCGTTTGTGGGCAAAATTTCTGTGAATTAATTGAGTATTGATTGCTATGGTTTATGGGCTGCAGTATTCATTCCTGGAGCCAAACCCAGAAGATCCCTTAACCCTAAAAGCAGCAGGATATCTAGAGATCATGCTTTTTGAGCGATGTTTCAAATGATAATGAATCCCTCTCTCGAATGCAATAAGAAGACCCAATTGCATCATGCGCCACAAGATGTCTTTATCGTTCTGCAAGTGATTTTTTTCATTTACCTTATATTGTGGAAAATAAACTCATTTTGTTATAATCTAAAAATGGCTTGGTAACAAAATGTAAACGCTTCGTGCTTGAATAAATGCCTCATCAAACTTTTACTCAGGAATATATTATAATCTAAACCTAAAGTAATAAACTCGTTAAATTACTATAAAGAAAAAATCAAAAATTGGCAAAATGACGGCGTTTTTTTTTAAAAAAGTCGAATTTCAACCAAAATTTTGGTCGTTTTTGAACAGCCAAAATTCGTTTTTTTTAATTGTAATAAGAAATTAACTGGGAATTTTACTGAGCATAGTTTGATACTCATTATGTGTTGGGGTGTAGTTAATTTGATTTAGACCATATAAATGCTCAAAGTCATATTGGACCTTTTGCACCCGCCCTACCCCATTTCTGAATAAAATATTTTAATTGCTAGAAAAATAAAATGATATAACTATTTTTTCTCCATAAGAATTAAATAATCACAATAATGAATACATGTTTTCATAACGTGAATGCTAATAGCGATTCTAAATGTAGAACACTTTTCACGTTGACATCCTGTTGTCATATTCAGGACGTGTGCAGATGTGATATAATGGTGACTCAGTGCTGTATGATTTTAATGAGCTTTGCTTTGTCTAGAGTTGACTAAAATGGATTGTAAAACATATTATGTTCCATAACAGAAACAAACTCTTATTACCTCTTCATGTGCAAAGCATTTATAATATGATCCAATGTAATAGATAAATGTAACTTCAAGCTTTACGAGCTCGCAAATATCACTTTCCTAGAATATTCAAAAATTTGTATTTATGTATCACTTAATTTTAAAACATGTATCAATCTACAGAATCTTTTACATATTTTTTTTATTTTATGCAGATCATCAAATCAGAATTTGGCGGCGGTTCTAAATTATCCTACGCTGGAAAAGAGATTGTTCTGGTGGAGCAGCATACAAAATGCAAATGCGATTGCATTGTAAAACCTGAGGTTAGTACATGTTTAATAACATAATAACATTATATAATAGTTTAAATATAATATAGTTTTTAGTTTAGAGTTTAGAATATTTTCTGGTAAATTTTACAAGTTTTTGTTATATTATATCGTTAACAAGTATAATCACAGTAGAAGAAAAGTGCTGTCTTCTTGAGACAGGTGACCAGGAAAATGATTTTTGTTTTTGAAAAAATATTATATAAAACTTGGACATGGTCTAGTTTGGTGTTATAGAGTTGTAGAAATTTGAATAAAAAACTATTTGCACTCATTAACGACTTTAATTTTATTGAACATATAAGCACAACTTATTTAATTTAAATTTATTGTAACGACTGGATTTTTGCAAAGTTGTATTATTTTACAATACACATATAAAATATTTTAGGCTTGTCTAATAAATAATATATATTTCTAAAAAGGTCACCTGATCCATCACATCTCATATTACCGTGACAGCTCTATTTTTGTCTATTACAAATATAAAACTGTATAAATAACATTCACACTCGATTTTTACAAAAATATCATTTTATTTTTGAAATTGTGTACGTACATTTTTTACATATGTAAGAGTTCAATCGTAAGAGTTCAATTGTTTTAGGTTTTCGCTTAAAGTGGTTAACTATTTAAATTTCCCGGGAAATGGTGAACTATTTAAATGTTGAAATTTTTAATTTTGCTGCAAAATGCTGATTTTTTATATTAGTTTTATAATATATCACTATTATATATATATATATATATATATATATATATATTTGTTAATTTCTGGATTTAAACCATACATAATATATTATTTTTAATTGCCCGTAGAGCAAGTTTAAGTAATTGCAAAACAAATCAAAATTTAAAATTTTCATATATTTTTAACTTCCCGTAGGGCCAGTTATAGTAATCGCAAAAAAATCAAAAATATTTTTTTTTATATATCTTTACGTTTCAAAACCTTCTGAACATTTTGGCATACTTTAGAAAAAATGGGTGCACGAGTGTGTGTGTATGTGTGTATGTGTATGTGTGTGTGCGTGTGCGTGTGGGAATACCAATTTTTGTCGATGATTTCGGGAATACGGATCAAACAGTTTGAATAATTCAAAAAACACTCGAATCCAATTGATAAGGAGACGTGCTGATTTGTTTTTGGCAAAGGCAGGTTTAGCTGTTTCGCTTACGCGATATTTCTTCTCAACAACCACGCAGCACGATTGCTTCGGAAAAATAATTATTGAAAAAATTTACAGAAAAATACAAAGTATAAAAAAATTCAAAACATAAAAAAAAATTAAGTTCAAAAAATGTAATTTTTTTCAGTTTTCGAAAAAAATTTAAAGTTTTTTAAAAATTTTAATTTTCGGTAAGAAATGTTCTAGCAATTTGCCTTATTGCACGATGCCATGCACCACTAGTTCATTCGTGAATTAGGTCATACGATATATTACATAAAGTTTATTTATTAAATTTTTACCTACGATTTCAACGATTGCCAAACTATATTATTATTAAGAAGTATCGAAAAATAACCTAGAGTTAACAAGACTATAATACAAAATTATTTCTATTATAGCACTGTAATCAATTCCAAGAGTACAAGAAAAGTGAATGCCGTTGCGCCTGCACGAACAACGACGACGAACAAAAATGCCTGCAGGAGGGCGTCCTGAAATTATGGGACCCGCACTCCTGCGTCTGCAGGTGCCGAGAGACCCAGGACTGCACGACAGGATTCTACTTCGACCAATCCACGTGCCAATGCTCCCAGGTAAAAATAATTGATATATAATTTATAAATTAAGCGTAATGTGTGATAATTAATGTATCAAAATAAGTCACTATTTGTAATTTATTGCTAAATCTACTTGACGATATTTATATGTTTCATTGTAAATAACAATATAACTCTGCAAACATCTCATTTTATTATTTAACACTTTAATCGCCACAAGAATATCAGATTTTTTTTGCTTGGGTCATAGTAACTTTATTTGGCAATTTATTTAAAAATGTATCAAAAAAACTTATGGGCCGATTCTGCCGCATAACAGACCAATGTTATAGCAAGGCCATATTACTTTTCAACTTGCATACATTTTGATACTGAATTATACTAAATACTGTCAAAATGTCATTAATTTGCTGTGCATTCAGGCCTTTTACACATCAACTGCAACGTCACTTGTGTGTTATGAAGCTGGGTCAGAAAGACCATGTTATCTAAGAAGTTTTTTTGACATTTGTGCGGTTTTCTATATGACAACCCAAGTAAAACGCCTGGCTGCAGAGCAACCAGATGGCTTCTGACAATATTTAGAACAATTTAGGGACCGATTCTACCGCATAACAGACCAATGTTATAGCAAGGCCATGTTACGTTTCAACTTGCATACATTATGCCACTGAATTATACTAAATACTGTCAAAATATCATGTATTTGCTGTGCATTCAGGCGTTTTACACATAAACTGCAACGTCACTTGTATGTTATGAAGCTGGGTCAGAAAGTCCCTGTTATCAAAGATAGTTTTTTTGACATTTGTGCGGTTTCTAGGTTAGGTTTTCTATCTGGAAACTTGAGAAAAACGCTAGACTGCATAGCAACCACATGGCTTTTGAAAATATTTACTACAATTTAGTATGGAAAGTTCTCAATAACATAGCCTTTCCATAACATTGATCTGTTGTACGGCCAAATCGGTCCAAAAATGCTACTAAATAGTATCAAAATGTTATATATTTGCTGTGCGTTCAGGCGTTTTATACATAAACTGCAACGTCACTTGTATGTTATAAAGCTGGGTCAAAAAGACCATGTTATCTAAGATCGTTTTTTTTTTGACATTTGTGCGGTTTCTAGGTTAGGTTTTCTATCTGACAACCTGAGAAAAATACCTAACTGCAACCACATGGCTTATGACAATATTTACTACAATTTAGTATGAAAAGTTTTTCATAACATAGATTTTCCATAACATTGATCTGTTGAACGGCCAAATCGGTTCAAAAATGCTACTAAATAGCGTCAAAATGTTGTGTATTTGAATAATTTAGTATGAAAAATTCTACATAACATAGCTTTGTCATAACATTGGTCTATTTTACGGCAGAATCGGTTCCTTAATGTATCAAAAAAAACCTGCTAAAACTCTTGGAAAAACACTATTTTATATTTTTAATAAAATATTTATTCTCAACATGCCAAGAAATTTTTATGTCAATTTGTCAGACTATCAGACACTTTTAACTAACATGGCGATTAATGTGTTAAAACAACAAACAATAAGCACAACTAAAGTATAGTATTTCCTGCATTATACCATTGTCACGATGTGTGGGATTCGAAATTCATTATTAACCTACGCACAAATTTAAAAAAAAATCATAATTTTTAATCAGCCAATACTAATAAGATTGCCATTTACCGGAGTTCATCATGGTTTATGTTTTTTTTTTGTATAGCGAAGAAAATGAATTTAGGCATCCCAGACTAGGTCTTTTGTCTGGGTATGTCGGGCTCAATACCGCTTTCACAATAATACCGACTAAAACCCACGGAAACCATATATGTATGGTTATTTAATGTGCTTTATTAAATTTATTAAGTTTGTCAAAAACTCAAATACAAGTAATCAACTTTTTAAACACTAATGCTTTATCAAATGAATCTGAAAGCAATAACCGCAATTGACTACCAATTACATGATACACAATTTGCTTCTTATGTATTATCAAATTAACTATTATGTATATTAACTATTTCAAAAATAAAGTTTGCGCTTTTACTAAAAACCAATCAATGCGATTTTCAATAGCAAATATATAACATGTAATTAAATTAATTATATTGAATAAACACGCTCTTTGTGCCCTAAAAGCACTACCCATTTTGCAACGCTACCACTTTTCGTAGACCTCTAATATTTTAGGAGTTCGTTTAGATCATGAACTGAATTACTCCAATCCAATAAATCAAACTAAAAAAAATCATATATGAAAGAAATATATTACGAAGAAACGGTTTGACAGATCTTTGCAAAAAAACTAATTAGCACAGTTTCCAAGTCTTTGAATTTTCAAAATCGGTTCCGGATTTTCTGCAAAAACGTGGATGATAAATTTCACAGTTTTCTTCCAATTCTAAAAATTGGCTTGGCCGATCATTTGGCACCTATGAGAGTCCACTTCATCAAATGGCACTTAAATTTTTGAAATCGGTTCAGCCGTTTCTGATAATGAGAACAAACGCGCCGACAAAAAATCGAAAACCTTTTTTTTTTCAAATTTTGCATCAAACGTTTAAGAACGACTTGAAACGTCGAGTGAACATAAAATTTGGAAATCGAATTTTCTAGTGAAAACGTAACCGTGGCCTTCGGGAAGTTAAAAAAAAATATTATTCGCTATGTCTAATATAGTGTTTTTTTTTTAAATTTGCAATATTAACGCTTATCATGTAAGTTGAAGGGTTACTAATATTATTTTTTAACATTTCATCAAGTAAAAAATTTAGTTGATTAATTAATGTATTATTGGCGTATGTTTTATGCAAGTGATGAATAAAGTTATTTATTTTCTTTGCGAAGTAAACTCATTACTATTTGGAACATATATTTATAACAGCCATGTATCTATTGAAATAATTGCTATATTTTTACAGTAAGTTTTTTTTCCAAAGAAAATAAATTTTTATTCAAATATCTCATATTTTTTGGTGACTTTTGTGCCTATTTTGTCTCTCCATAACAGATCGCTTGAGATATCATGGGATGCAAGAGAATTTTAGTGAATGAAACAACAACTTCAACCAACATTGGCACGTATTTTGTTAAAATTACCAATTTTGTGTAAATATTATATATTACTCCATTAGTCATCAGTAAAACACAGTTATATTAAACGTGTTGTGATAAATAAACTTATTGTTAGTATATGTTAAATGTAAACTAATGATGTAAAAGCATTCTTTTTATTAAATTAATAATCATTTATAATATGACTGTCTTGTTCATTGATTTAATCATCGAAATTTTCCGTTTCAATAATTCTTTGGTCTCTCTAGAAATCATTTCATACAAATCTATATAATAATATATATAAAAGTGTTAAGATATTATATAAAATTTTTGTGTTCTGCGTTCCAAATATCAATAATAAAACTATTTTATGGTGTCATGTACTAATTAGAATGCTGATGCATCAATTGGATTTTGCAATAAAAATTACTCATGTGATATCAAATATGATAGTCTAAATAAAAATGCAATTTTTATAATTTGCAAGTTTTTATAAATGAAATGTCGAATAAAATGTAAATTATTCATTGGGTTTTTCTCATTTTATAGTTATTGATGTTCATTATTTTTGCCTTTATTGAATTACTAGAACATAAAATTATGGTTTATTTAGTTAAAAAAATAATTTGATTATTATAAAAAAAATTTAGTTGAAAAATACGTTATTGATTTAAACAAGAGTATCGATTCACATGAAGCCAATTAACATGCCAACAAATTTAGATTAGATTTTATTTAAATTTTTCTTAAAATATATATGAAACAAACAAATTTAAAGATTTAAATTTTTCTTATGATTAGAATTTTAGTAAAACAAATAAATTTAAAGTTCAAACAAACACATATATAACATTTTTATATAAAGTCAGAAATGTGATAAAGCGAGTCTAATAAAATATCAGAAAAAAAATCTAAATTCAAGTAGACATAATTCAAATTTTCACATATGAAAATATGATATATACCTATTATTTGTTCTGAAAATAATATTTATTTAATTTAAGTCGTAGTAATTTTGTAGTTTTGAAGTAGAAAAATACTTTCCTATAGGTTCAAGCTCATAATTTTTTTATAATTTGCATTTTATTTCATTAAATATTTTTGTGCATTTAATATAATTTATAATGCAGTCAATTGTTGCATTTCTGTTTTTTTTATATTATTAATCAAATAAATTTCAAATAGATTTTATTAAAGATACATCGTAAATCCAGTATATAATACGAAAATATGGTTTGTTTCTTAAATTTAGTATTGATATGATATTTATTAGATTTGAGACAGATTTTTTCAATAGAACTACAACGTAAATCGTAACCAAAGTTAGAAATAAAATTGACTTTTTTAATATTAATTTGTAAAATATTTTAACAACTGGTTCATCAAATATTGAATAAAATTAATTATAAACACATTTCATTTGTGAAAATTAGGTACTTTCTATGTTTTCGTATAAAATATTTCGTTCAGTCAAAAAAAAAACAAAACAATTTTATTAAGAGTCTAAAAAACAAGTCAGAATTGTTAGAATAAATTTCACAAAATGAGGTAACGTAATTAATGCTCAATACATTATACAAGCGTTAAAATGTTTATTTTTTGAATATTTATTTTGCGGTAATTTATAGAGCCAATTCTCGGATAAAATAGTACCAATACTCGGATATATTTGTATGAGTTGGTAGTAAAAAACTGCCAAAAAGCTATGTATTTCTTGTGCGATCAGGCGCTTTGCAAACAAGACACACCAATGTCAAATAGCAATTTCATCATGAGTGCAACTTTTTGATATCTCTTTGATATACATATGTGAAGTTAGGTTTTATGTGCGAAACTTCCCAATAGCAGAGCAAATATATATCTTTTTGACAATTTGTTACTACCAACCCATACAAATATAGACCCGTAACATAGCATTACCATAACATAACTACTTTATCCAAAAACTGGCCTTTATATTGATCTATTAATATCGTCTGGCATCGTGTGAATCGTATTCAAATCTCCATAAATTCTATTCCTATTAAATGAGATAACTTTAAACCATCAAATTACTAAATACAAACAAAAAGTAAAGTTAATTTGACGATATGCCTTCATATCTACTATCCCATCTGATCAGATTCCATCGCGCAATCTTGGGCCAGGAGACAGAACGCGTTTCAAAGTAAAACCGATTTTGGAGCCAGTTCAACCAAATGATGGAGATGTCTACGAGGTGTAGAAAATAATAAAAAGTCTTCACAGAAAATATTTTTGGAACTATTATCGACTGAACATTTATTTACTGTTAAATTAACCTTAAGACATATATTTTTGTAGAGTTTGAAGTGTACATAGTTGTGGAAGCAGAATCCACGAGGGGTCAATTATCGGAAGGAATAGAAATCTTATATTATGCTAACATTATGTGAATTGGAAGTAAAAAGTGTCAAAAAGCTATGTATTTGCTGTGCGAACAGGCGTTTTACTCATACAACCTAACCAACGTCAAATAACAATGTTATTAAAAGTCCATCTTCTTGACGTCTCATTGATAACACATACGTGAAGTTAGGTTTTATGTCTAAAACACCTGATCGTACAGCAAAAACATAGCTTTTTGACAGTTTTTACTACCAATTCATACATAGTTAGAATACAGCACATATCGTAGCCTTAACATTTCTATTTTATTGGACAATAGTCCCCTAAATACAAATCCTGTAAATTAAAAGTTTTATTTAATATTTGATTAGGAAATATTGTATATTGTGCCATCACGTTCTTGATCTATTTATTATTAAATTATCTGTAATAACACAAATACAGCTAACTTTCCTATAACGCGTACTGTGGTATATGAACATCGCGCTATAAGAAACTCGAATTGAAACTAATCTAATTCGTAGCGCGTTCTATACAAGCCAGCGCGTTATATTAAGCGCGTTATATGGAGCGCGTTCTACTAAAAACTCAGAGTTAGTACAAATTACATCAATATATACCGCGTTATATGGTAACCAAAAATACAAAAAACGATTGTATAAACTGGCATGTTTATATAATTATATTGTAAAAGATAAAATAGTCGATATGAATTATATTAAAACTTTTTACAATATCTCGTTACCAGCACCATTCATTAGTTAAGAAAGAAACTTATGGGATATTGAATAAAATCCTCGTTATAGAAAAGCTACCGCAATTCAGACCAGAGTAATAAAAACCGCGTTAAAGAAGGGTCGATCGTATTTTGATAGAGAAAGTTATGGGTTTTGTGAAGTAAACCTCGTTATAGAAGAGCTGCCACAATTCAGATAAGAGTATTATGAAAACCGCGTTATAGTAGGAATGACTGTATTTTGATAGAGAAACTTATGGGTTGTTTAATGAAAACCTTGAAATAGGAGAGCTGTCGCATGTCAGGTCAGAGTAATATAAAAACCGCGTTATAGGAGCGTTGACTAAATTTTCACAGATTTTTCAATTCAAATTATTCTATGAAGTTCTATGTTCTATGAAGAAGCAATTATATATTTCAAATAATTAATTAAATTGTTACAACGTCGGTGCAATATCTTTAGTATTAATTTATCCATAAAGACATATTTTTGTACACGTGTTGTTTTATGTTATATAAATAAATACTTTTGCAGAAAATTATTGAAAGTTATATATAAAGTAATTTAATTATTTCAATAAGACCCCTGAATGGAATATTGTATATTGTGCCAGCACACAATTCTTGTGCCCTATTGTTTTATCATAATTCTCGATTTAAAATTTATTATTATTAAGATCTATTATATTTAAGTTATATATAGTAAATATTTATAAATCCATAACCAAACAGTATATACTTCACCTGATCAATATATTATTCATTATCATAAATTGAGAACAAGTTAATAGTATTTATAAACAAATGAAAAAAATTTATTTAAACTCGAATTCAAAATTGTACCTATATAACGAGCAATATTAAAAAAAAATTAAATTAACTTTTGTGATATACCCTAAATCATCTGTATTTTTATTTAAAATTGTATTGATCGCACATTTTTGTTTCCAATGTGTGGTTTAATATTAATAAGTCTGTCATTGTAAATAAATTAATTTTAAGAAATATAATTATTGAGTATATATTAAGATTTAAATATTTGTAAGTAGAAGCACGTATATATATATATATATATATATATATATATAATTAAGATTTCATATTATTTGCAAAGAAAATTTCCTCATTTAAAGTTTACTCCTTCCCAGTATTGAACTTTGTAATTAAGTTTAATTTATCTTTGATCTAACTTGAATTTATATGAATATAGTGAAATTCTAGATGAATAAAAATATAATTCGAACATAATACTTGTTTTTATAATTTATTTATTTAATTTAGTTCAATTTCAGATTTTTGACAATTTCGTATGCAATCCAACTAAAATTAAAATGAAATCCTTCTTTAAAAATTCCATAAGTTAAATTGAACATTTTTACAGTTGGTGTATATTCACTACTTTTGAAGAATTCCTAAGAATTGTCCAAGAATTAGCATGGCCAACTATGATAATAAATTTTACTGACTAAAAAATTCAAATTTTTGGAAGAGTGATGGATTTAATTTAATGTTTGTTCGAAAGATGCATTTTTCAGTTTTGCCAGAAAAAAAGTCGGATTATTTTTTAATTTACAATTTAAGCTTAGAATATAAAATGAGATTTATTTAGCTTAAAACGTTTAAAGAAATCTAATTATTATCAAATGTGTTTTTATCAAATATCGATGCAAACTTGTAAAAATGCAAGGAAAATATATTAATATGACATGTATTTATTGAAAACTAGTCACAGAATCGTTACGCGTAAGTAATATTTTAATATAATAATATAATAATATTGAAAAGCACCCAAAGAATTCCATACAATTTATAGATTGTCAGCGTTATAATTAGTATTGCAAGGAGTAATCAATTTTTGAATTAATTACATTGTGTAAAAAATAAAACTAAGAAATATATTATTTAATTTTTAATTTATTGTTTATATAATTGTACATTTACATGAACATTTTTGCAAACGTTTGCACTTTAGCATTCGTTCAAAGACACATACGCAACTGTGCCTACAATATAATATCAAGTATTTTTCTTCAACGGTTTAAGTTCGCACTCAAACCAAACACTTTCGTCAAAATAGTTTCACACATAGTTTTTATTTCAATTCATCAGTCTAAGCATCGCAAGTTTTAACAACTGGCCTCAACATTATACTAGCGCCAACGCAACCCGTCGTATCGGCGATGTAATGTTGGAAGTTACTTTCAAGCGCCCACATGAGTTTTTTAAATCCTGGCAATACTTGGGTAGCCAATCTGCAGTCGCCTCCTGGCAATACTTCGACGAAATTGGATTCCTTGAAACAGGTTTCAGTGTTCCACATGTACACGTCACTTTGGCCCTTGAATCTGAAGAATATGGCAGCTCCGTTGTCTGTACCCAGAAGAACTATTGGTAGGCCATTGGGTTTGGGTCCAACATCGACTACGGCACCGGCACCTTGTCCCTTGCGGAGTAAAGCGGCCTTGATAGAGAACAATCTTGGGCTGTTGAGGTAGGTGAAGTACAAGACAGTTTGGCCACAAGATTTACGGACTAATGCGATGTAAAGAACGTCATTGGGGGCACAGCCGGCGGTGACTGCTTTGGGCAAAACGACACGATGTCCTTGGCCGGCGTACACATCAAACACGACAATGGCTCTAGTTCCGGCATCGCTCACAAACCTGGATAAAGGACAACAATGTGAACAATGTACACATTGAAAAAATCTCTTGTAAACTAAAAATTTATTTAAACTTACACATAAGGTTTGCCTTCTTCATCATAATCTACAAGAATGTATTGCAATCTGCTAGCATCGCTGACTAATCCTTCAAGACTGACAACTTTCACAACCTTTCCAGTCTTCATATTCACAGCCACAACTTTAGGTGGGCAACGGCGTACGGGTTGTTCTAATGTGTTAACAATACCAACATCGAGAACCCACAATATATCCTAAAAACCACAATATTATAATCTCTTGCAAAGAAAATGTAGTTCCATTGTGTATCATTTCTCTTGATAATTACCATGGGATCGAGGAAAATATCAACAACGCTTTGCAAAGCTTCACAGTTGCCTTCTTCTTGCATGGACCAGCATGGGAATGGAGCTAATGAGGCGATGCATTTAGAAGCCTTGGCCAAAGACATCTTTCCGAGAGTGAATGGTACTCCTGGTTTGTATCTGGGCATGGCGACTATAACTTGATCGTTCCACATTTGGGCTCTGGTTATGATGACATTCTTTGGAACGTATCTGCCAGAACTGACGTAAATGTTCTTGGTTGATTGACAAGGCCACTGAAGATCGCTACCGGAGAGACGGTAAGAGAGATCGGCTAAGCTCCGATCGCATGCAGCATGCACGCTCACTAGCACGAAGGCACAGCACAGGAGAAAACGAATCATATCTGGATAATATTATACAGAGAAATAAATCACGATGCTCTTCACGCACTAAATAAAAATATTTTATGGAAAAAATTCAATAAAAAAAATCTACAAAAAATTGAACACTGAAATATTTAATGAGAAGATCCGATATACAATATATAACTATAACTTCCACGAACCTGTTAAGTATTTATTACCCTACTGCAATGAAAGAAATATAACTATGCTCTTGAAAAATTAAAATGACAGCTTATATAGTTAGTCTAAAAATTTATTGTTTTCAAGAAAATCAAATATTTATTTTCCACTCGCCTAAAGTATAATACGGAGAGCCATCGCGAAGGTTATTTCCTATTTATTTTCACTGTATAATTATTTCCGGCATAAGGTGTTGTCAATCTCACATTTCTTCTAGTCACAATAGAAACTTGAGCATGCAGTTATGCAGCTCAATTAAAGAGTTAATATAAAACTACGTCGTTTGCAAAATTATTGAGAGCCGATTTGAAATTTCAATGTCATCGATACAGTTGTGAGTGAAGTAGGTTATTCGTACACATATGTATATTGGAAAATATATATATATATATATATATATATATATATATTGGAAATAGAAATATATATTGGAAATATAGATAAAAAATATGTTTCCATTTGAAAATTAGCTCATCTCGAGCACTGCGGTGTGAAATGACAATGGGAAATTTCTCACACTATTCTTCCCTGAATCGAGTTGGATTT